CAGTAGTAATCATTAGGCAACTTCCATGCATCCATTGCACAATATCAGCAAGGAGTGATTACCGTTTATCCTACAGATACTATAAGAGTATAACCGTACACCGCTGATTCACAGCTTTGCATAGGTGCTGTGCATTTGGTTCCTTTAAGGATCGTAGAAGAGAATGAATGCATAGTTGACGCGAAAATTGCCTCACAGGGACGTACCAGTAGTTCACTTCAGTTTTCTTAGAGCCCAGACAAGTCTGATACCAATTCGCAAACTCCGAAAGACGGACGGCATAGTTAGGTCAAGAGTGTGGGAATAAACCAGATTTCCACGTCAATATTACAATGCACTTATCCTCTATCACATTGCATCTCTAATCGCTGTGCTAAATATGTCGTCCACACTATAATATCCAGAATTTGAGGATATTTCATGCATAAAATAAAACATCTAATCTTAACAAAGATAGACAATTAATCAGTGTTAATCTTCATGAATCCTCCCAACGGTTTACAGCCTTATCGTGGCTGGGAGGTATTCCTAGTTATCGGGCTGCTATGTACAGCGAGGGGATTCATCGCCCGGTAAGGTCTCCCGAGCTGAGGAGTCCGACCAATACCAGAATCCACCACCATCCTGGTATCAGTCGCATGGTGGTAAATCTCCTTCTGATCCAAATAGGCTGCGACTGCCTGTCGTGGTGACGACCCGAGGCAGACTTTGGCCAGGCTGATCTCGGGACACCAAGGAAACACAGTAGGTAAACCAGCAAAACTCCAAAGAATGGAGAATACGCTGGGGTCCGCACAGCCAGTGAGGACGGGCCGTCTCAGTATCCAACTATCCAAGTAGTCTTCATGAATTTCGTACAGATTCAGTGACACTCTTAATGATGCTCTCATAAATATTGACGTCCACGTTTCTTCTTCACTTTACCAGTTCTGTACACACTGTCAATTCACCAACTATTAAATAAATAGCTAACCTTCCACTTACTAAGAAAAGAAGAATGACATATTCTAAATGTCATACCAACCGTGTGTTGCCAATTGCATAACCCTAGAATTTCTCGAGTTCCTCTTATTCGAGTTCTCAGTGGATATTTTCGAGACACTCAACGTGTATGAGAATAGCGTCAACCAGTGAACTTCTGGACTTAGTAGTCTTCAGAAGGCATCCGCACTTTAATTTCATTCAACATCGATACTGCGAAATCACTTTTGAGGTGGTCACTAACACCGTTAACCAAACGAATCCATCACCAAATAGTGACCACGGCCGTCCCCATCCTCAATACCGCAATATCAGTCTCGTCATCACTATCCATGACGACGGACGCGCAGCTTCTCACCGATGTTGGGATTAACAAAATTTGAACTGTAGAGAAGTCAGAAATTTTTATAAAACAGATTTAAAGAGCAATACTATCACGTTCTACGAGATGGACTTGTAAATCTTGCCCAGCATTCTCATCTCATTCCTTGGCTCCTATAATACTATTGAAACGGCGACCATGAGAAGTACACTGAACCAAGAGAAATAAAGCTGAACCTTTCACGAACATGGAAACCTCCCATTACTTCCATTTCACTAAGGTCGACTATGACCTTACTATTATGAAAACGCTGATAAAGGCCCATTAACCACATCTGCAGCATGACACTGGATGAATGAATTTTCAGTGTTAAAAACAAGAGCACTCTGTAATGTCAATGGAGGATTCAGAACATACTGGAAACGCACCAGTTACACACATTACCCTTGAGGCAACAAGCACGAATTTTAGTGGGACAATAAAATACGAATTTATTCGCTTCGAATGAGGTTAACGCCAATTAAACGCTCTCCAGAAGAATCTAGAATCCACAATGACGGAGTTCGACCTGTTAACACGCGAATAGTATCCGCGCAGAATGCAAAAGAATAAACTCACTCATTCTGCAAGAAAATTACATGCATCAATCCTTCAGCTCTGAGATGTGAAATGTGTAGNTTACCCTTGAGGCAACAAGCACGAATTTTAGTGGGACAATAAAATACGAATTTATTCGCTTCGAATTCGAATGAGGTTAAAGCCAATTAAACGCTCTCCAGAAGAATCTAGAATCCACAATGACGGAGTTCGACCTGTTAACACGCGAATAGTATCCGCACAGAATGCAAAAGAATAAACTCACTCATTCTGCAAGAAAATTACATGCATCAATCCTTCAGCTCTGAGATGTGAAATGTGTAGAACTCTCCAACAAAAATGAAACAGAAAGTGAAAAATGTTATCGTTGTCCTAAATTACAGTCTAAGCTCTGAAATGCACCATATAAAATTGACTAATGAAAGTTGAAGTTGTCAAAGAAAAGCACTTACGTACAACTTTTAAGCGAAACCATATCATATAAAGCTTCTATAACAGCAAAACCAACTGAATAACAGCGTATACTTTCTAAAACTGCCCACTAAGGAGCGAAATAAAATTAGGCCAAATTAAAACAAAATCATATCGCTAAATTATGCGGCTTCACGTCTCCAATAAACACATGTCATTGCGCTGCCGATGTGGCCACTTCGTACCGTAGAGGACTCACATCTAATCGCTAACGATTTGAAGCTGTAACATACGCAAAAAATAAAGGGCAAAATAAATAACTAACATTAACAGGCACAGTGAAACAAACCAGATATCACTACTCCATTTCCTCAACATCAACCATTTCGTTCGAAATTACGGAACGGATGTCTGGTGGCTGAGCGTACGGATCAGCTGGGCATTCGAAGTGAACGCAGTGGAACACCTCGTTAGCCGAGTTGTGCGTTCCGACAATTTTTATGAATACCACGGGCACAGCATCATCAAGCTTAAGTAACTGCCAGCTTCTAAAAAAGGAGAGGTTGTTAACCACACAAGGAAAAATTTCTGGACAGAATTTCGAACTAATGCCCCCATTGACAGTTACCATTGAGCAATCACAAACTGGTAACTTTGCTAAAGAAGTGATTTAGCCAAAACAGAGATAAAATTTCATGAAATTTTATAAGATGAGGAATGATATGCCTAGTCGTCTAGGGAAATCACTGGTGAATTTGTCCCTCACTTGAACTTAGCGATTACAGAATTTTCATCCGATTTCTATAACTTTCTTACTTGTTACTCACTTTCAAAAGCAAAACGAGATAAAAAGAAAGAGGCAATTCATAATCCATACCGTACGTCAAAAGTATTTGCACCAATAACTCTCAACTGGTGACCGTTTGCAACACCAACCTCGACATTTTTAAGCAGTGATAAATCCTATAAAAAGATTAATAATAGCGCGCTGGCCGTTAATTAATCCGAGACACTTCACGTATTCGACTCTACCAAGCATAATAAAGGTAGTTAAACGCATATATGGTCTATACAATGATGAGGCGAAGAGGACCGATCGATCTATTAGGAATTATTTTCGTCCTCGAAGACAAGCTAGTTATGAATTTGCCCATAATGTAGAGATGAAAGACTTAGTTTCCCGGGATTCGGGATCGGATCAACAATCCACCATGTATTACAAAACATCTCTAATCAACGCGCTACACACTACCGTGAATCCCATGCATCATTTTTTTTTCCTTTTACAAATCAACATTTACACATGAAGTACTTCAAGCAATCTCTTAAACAAAAGGACAATCCGGCCTTGCCAAACAGTATCCTTATTCTCGTTAACAGACAATTTAAATTCTAAACATTATTCATCATATACACTCTGTAAATTTCATGGTTGCTGTTAGCGTAACGTTTCGCACACACAGCACCACCTCGAGAGACCACGCCCACCATGACAGTTAACCGTACAGTAGTCCTTTACGTTTTAGTGGCTTAGTCCTGTTATTCACATTTTTGCACTTTTGTAGACAAAACAAGACTAGAAAACTTCTCACCGTACAACAAGCAAGTTGCACCGTGGTGCATAAGAAAATACACATTTTGTTTCGCAAGTGGCTTACATTCTAGCCGAAAATCGAGTTGCAAGAAGCCTTTGAATGCAACGATGCACTTATTCAACACTAAAAAATGTTGTTCCCCCAATATTGCCCACCTAATACCGTCACCAACAGTTGTCTTCATGTAAGCTTCCTATTTGAAAGTCCATAAAATCCAGTTTTTCCTGCAGCTTTCCTTTATAACCAATTAATAACTATGTCACGAATCCATCAAGCCCACTTCGTTAATTCAGAAGCAACAGTGACAAAGTTATCAAAACGTATGACAAAAAAACTGCGAAGTCCTCTATAAAACGACAAAAATATAAGCCGCGTGACTAGAAGTCTTACTCAGCCATTGGAACCAGTCCTATTTTTGGTCAATCAGAATCTGACCATCTTGAGCGCTGATCCTATCTCCAAACACATACTATCACTAGCATGACTCTGTCGCTTCAAAAATGTGCCAACATTGCTGTGGACCAAATACGCCCGTCAAAAACTGGCGATTAGCTGTCAGCCATCGTTGAAGCCAAACTAAACACTACGACGCCAACCTCACTGGCCATATCACCAGCGACTATGCTACCATACGTCGTTGTACTCCTTTAGCATTTCTTTTGAAATCAATCATGTATCACCTTTCAGCTTCGAGTAAACTCCACTCTCAAAAAATGGCCCGATCATAGAAGTCACTCCTCTTAAAGCAATACAAATAATCACACATCGTCGAATAAACGTGCGATTCGTGGAAAATTTTCGTCGCTTTTCATGTTTTCTTAAGCAAATGTTTCCAGTGCGATGTATTTGCACAGCTGCAGCATGCAATACCATTCATATGGTCAATCACAAACGGTCAGTATCATGTAAAAATCAATCTATGTACTGCTCTACTATACTTTAAATACACGAATATATATATACATATATATAAATGTATGCATGTACACAGATATATACATATATATATTTACATATATATATATATATAATATATCTGCACTAATATATCTACTCAACAAACGATAGTCTTCTTGAAATATGATCGAACAAAAATGTTCGGCACTGACCTTTCGGTAACCCAAATGTTTAAATACTTCCAATTGAAGACCACCAGCAGATTCGTGATGAATGGAGTAAATCAAATGTATGACGCGCCTCAAGGAGAATCGGAGCACAGTCACAGTAACAATTACGGTACGATAAACGGTGTGTTACTATCAAATAATAGTCTTAGGAATAACTTCCATTCAGATTCTCAGTACGTGATTACTAACGCAATCCCAACACGAATCAAAGAAGAGAGGCCAACGTGCCAATATGTCTACGCTCAATCGAATCAGGTAGAGTAGTTTTCGCTTCAAAATAGATTCGTATTGAAAATAGAACAGAAAATTTTACACATAACATTAGGAAAGTTTAAAACAACTATTTAGCATCGAAAGCGATTGCTACTTTCTCAACTATTGAAAATTTGCTATTGTAAATGGTCTTCGAGTAGTACTAGGCCCAATATTGTAAGCACAACATACATATAGACACATAGACTTGCATTCAAAACTCTTTTTCTCTGATATGTATCAGGTTATTGCCAACAATAGAGCACCATCTCCACCAATATCGGCGAGCTCTTTTGGCTCCAAACCGTTCAGTGAGTGTTCCGAAGAGGAAGTAGATTTCATTCACCGACTTCCACCTCATATCGAGACTAAGGTATTTTTGTTTCACAAATTTTATTCCAGAAAACTTAAACAGTGGAGATTTCAGCCAAATATCTAATGTTGTTAGAAAGCAAGTGCTCCATAAAATACAAAACTGTTAAAACTATTTTTTCATGCTTTATTTAAATATGAAATTTGAATGTAAACATAGCCATTGCCTACTCTATTCTGTGTTCACCTCTTTGTTCTAAAAGTGTCCTATTCCATAAATCAACAACAAAGTAATATTATGAAAGTTCAGTTATAGAAAATTTCAGGTCTACTACCCGCCATCATCGTTAAATCCTTTCAACTACTTCAAAAACGCAAAACGAGATCGGGCTGCAGTGGAGAAACGACGTATTCATCGGTGTGATCAACCCGGCTGTTACAAAGTCTACACCAAAAGTTCTCATCTTAAAGCTCATCAACGAATTCACACAGGTGGGTTTAAAAATGCATGACAGGAGGCGAATCGAAACTTGTTAAATCTCCTGTAGAACCAAAGAAGTTCTTTCCACGCTTTCTGCTTGTCAAACTTGTAAACAAATGTGAGAGTTCAAAGAATGTACGATAAGATGGAGCCCATTTATCTTCTTGTAACTCGACACCTCTTGGAGCAACACCATTTGTCATTCCTTAAGCTATTATTTTTCTCAATTGAGGTCCGCCACTTTTGATTGTTTTGAGAGTCGATATCGATACTCAAATAAATACGCAAATCCAATTACCGCAATACGGNGCTTGTCAAACTTGTAAACAAATGTGAGAGTTCAAAGAATGTACGATAAGATAGAGCCCATTTATCTTCTTGTAACTCGACACCTCTTGGAGCAACACCATTTGTCATTCCTTAAGCTATTAGTTTTCTCAATTGAGGTCCACCACTTTTGATTGTTTTGAGAGTCGATATCGATACTCAAATAAATACGCAAATCCAATTACCGCAATACGGAAACTACCGCACTTCTAAGGTAAACAGTCGGCTCATCAAAAGATGCTGACCTTATCGCGCGGTAGCATACAACACTGGAGTCAGACGCTTATAAAGACAAAGGCTTCGGCATCCATAAATCCCTTGGAAACATCTTTAAGCATCGCAGAGATAACGGAAAGTATATTTGGTCTCTGCAATCATTTTTGAGGAGACAGCGATGTATGAAGTGTGTTTTATTCACTCACATAAGTCATACCAATTTATCGACCCGGAAAAATATGAGTTTGGTTAGACAGTATCGAATCGAGTACCAAGTGCATCGTGGGACGAGAGAGGGATATTAGCCCGTTGCGTTGCGTGGGTCTCAAACATTAATATTATAACAAAATGGAAAAGACGTAATTTCCTTGTATTTTTTTTTACAACAAACGCTTAGCGAGATCACGAAAAAATGGCGTAATCACCATAAAAATACTTCATAGGTCGAATTCTTGCTAGGAAAAGCTTGCGCTAGATAACCCATGCTGACATTCTCATTGTGACTGGTGTTAACATGAAACATTTACCACATAACATTCAAGAAACTACTCTTCCTTAACTTGCTATAATTGTATTGACTAAAACGCTTACATTTCTATGGAAATTAAACCACTATATTTCTGTCCAACATAGAAAGAAAACAACTGTAAGATAAGAGAATTTCTAAAACAATTCCTTCAAGTAAGCAATTCCAGGTGAAAAGCCATATTTATGTCAGTGGCCTAACTGTTGCTGGACATTCGCGCGGTCAGACGAACTCACGCGACACTACCGGAAACACACTGGTGCAAAACCATTTCGTTGTCCCGAATGTCCTCGGTGCTTTGCCCGGAGCGACCACTTACAGGTAAAACTTTAGTTGTAGGAACCATAACTCAAATCAATGTTATTATTGTGGGATCTTAATGTTGAAGTTCTCACTACACTTTTCAGCTTCACATGAAGCGTCATGAATTGAAGAGCGATGTTTCACTACAAGAAATCAACCAAGGTTGTAGCGATATTACTGATTTGTGATAGCGTATGTTATTTTGTCAACAATTTCTTAAAAATAAACGGAACTAAATACTACCTTGGAAGTGTTAATATTAAGCATCGTTGCGTCGCATTTGGTGAAGTATCGACTGCATAAGATGCGTAGTCATAGCTATTTAATTAAAAACACTGGCAAGGCAGTCTTCTAATAAAGAGAGAACCAACCCTATAGCAGTACTACGGTGAAACAATGGCGTCTACAACAAGTCTTACCTGCACTGTTTAGTCGTTCTATCGATCAGTTTGGTGGTCCAATTAATTTGGTCAACGGAAACATCAACGTAGTATGAATAAAAACGATCATCTATGTCCCACAAGAGCAGTCTAAACATAAAATAGAATCATGGACTTCGATTAAAGGAAAGCGCATAAACGTTTCGGTGTTGATCAATCCCTAAGAGATGTGCCACGCATCTGACCTCAACAAGCACTGTTAGAGGTGACTGAATGACTTATACAATGATTTGGAGTGATCTACCTATTTATGAAGTCAGTATTCTCCCAGAAAAGTTCGGTATTAAATTTCCGAGACCGGAGAGATTGAAGGCCTCATGAACCCCGAACACTAGATCGAACCAACGACCACGTGTATATTGAAGAATACCTCTGACAACTACGCTACGCGCGCACTTGAATCACACCCGTTTTTACGTAACATTCTCCGTTTGAAACGATCATGAATATAATGTGTTATGCACGGCACCACTCAGGCCCTCGTTCTACCTTTCTCTCAGACAGTCTTTTCCCGTTGATGGATGATTGCTGATGACACTGTTGCGGTAAAAAAACTGGCCCCAAAAAAAGCAGGATGAGGGCTTCAGTGGTGCACGTGAGCCCCTGAAAAGTGCAATCGTAGTTCGATCTGGCCTGGGGTACTTTCGCAAATATCTCTGCATTAATGTGGTTTTATTTCACATAACACCCTGTCGTGAAAAAATAACGGCCAGTAGATAAAATGTTATACATAACCAACAGTCTCTAAAAACACGGACTCATGCGCAGTTGGCCAAAAACATCAACGGTGCATCCAAGAATATTTTAACACTGCTCGACGAAATCACGCTTGCACAATCTCTTTGTAGCTTTCTCACACAAAAATCGGTAAGAACAAGAAAAAAAACTGTATGTGAGCCTCAGAAAGCCAATATGACGTCGTGGTGGTACAAGAAAATTATATCCCTGTTGGTAACATGTAAATTCGGGTGTTCTTTTAATAAAGAAGAAAGCTCGCTAAAAGAGGAGATATTTCTGTTTAAAGTCGAAAGGCGCTATTATTTAAACTACGTAACAGTCATATATGGTTCGTATCGTCTTAAATGTGTCAGTGAATCTATGAAAAAATGACCATGTTTCATTTAGATGAAATTCTAAATAATCTAACCTCATTGAACTAATCATATAGGGTTGTGGTAATTGAATGGTAATTGCTCCACTGTTTATTTGATGACATGTGTAACCGTTGTCCCAATCGTAATCGGAATTCTAAACACCGATCTGGTGGACAAAAATGAAACTTGAGTCACGACTTGGTAAAGTTTACACACCTGACCGTTGAGAAGTGCATTTCTACATCTCGATACTCCTTCTATAACCAACGCGTTGTTTTCAATAGTTGCCACATTTGTCGTCGGTACTGAGCAATAACAAACATCTCAGTATCAATCAAACGAGAAGCATAGCACTCACTTAGTAATCTAGTCTTCGGATCAATTTTGAACTCATCCGAAGAATGTAGGGCCTCTAACCCTACCAAATGAAACATCCGATTCGACTGTGAATTATGTGTGCCCACTATACGGATGTATCTAAATAGAAAACTGACCGAGATAGGTCTTGAGAATGACCGAGACATTTTCTAACTGTCAAGTCCTGGCAAATAAAAGTCATGTAATGAAACTCTCTACAAAATGCTATAATACATAAAGGGTAACATGTGAAACTTTAAAAAATGAACACCTAAAGTAGTTTCTAATCACATATTTCCTGAAGATAGTTATCTTTTTACTAGCTGTGTTTCACTTGTCTGTAATCACGAAGACGACTACGCATAAAAGAAATTGAAATGATTGGTACGAAATTCAAAACAATTGCGTTTTCGAAATTACTTCTAGAGCAAAATATGAATCGCTAACCTTACAACACGCGGCTCGAAGTACAGGGATTGACGAGAGCGGCAAAGATACTTGGTGTGGTCAATCACGCGAACCCAATCCCTGCGATCCATACTTACCTAAAGGAATGGCGACATTATTTTTCATGGAGCAGTGTTAACAAGCTATCCTTCCACTGCAATATCAAATGTTCTAAATATAGAAATGTAGATGGTATACCACGTTCATGATCATTCAGGTTTCTCGATAACTCACGATAATTTCTTGATACCTAGAGTATATGAGGAGTTGAGGAGATGACTATCATATTTATAAGATGTACCTCCAAAGATATATTTATATATAGATACATGTATATATATATGCATTTTACATGATCCGTCATCACTACTGTGGACATATCAGCACTTCTTGCATTCGATTCGTTTTTCCTTACCATTATTGTCCACAATGATATTCAGACATTTGAAGTGTTATTTCGGCTGATTCTTGAGGATTTTGTTCCTTTTACGAATGCGGTACAATGCTGGTCGAGTTTGAATATACGAGTATACATGCGTTTTGAATTCCATGTATATCTATATACGTGTTTCATAATCCAATTCAAGACATTAAGGCGGGCGCGCGAGTTTGCTGGTTGTTACATGTTTCTAGGTTCCAGTTCCAGTTTTTGAGTAACAAGGTTCAAATGCGCAGAAATATGACTGCACGATTGTTAAAAGTGCTATATCAACATTTTTGACTATTTATGAACTAGAAGTAACGTGTACCGTTACAGAAGAGTTGAATTCATAAATTCGATAATGAATAACTAGCCTCGACATAATAGGAATACATCCTTGTTTCACGATCCCATAGAAACAGAATTATCTTGTTAATTATGTAAGGACGGCNGCAGAAATATGACTGCACGGTTGTTAAAAGTGCTATATCAACATTTTTGACTATTTATGAACTAGAAGTAACATGTACCGTTACAGAAGAGTTGAATTCATAAATTCGATAATGAATAACTAGCCTCGACGTAATAGGAATACATCCTTGTTTCACGATCCCATAGAAACAGAATTATCTTGTTAATTATGTAAGGACGGCCGAGTTGTACGACTATTCCTTCGTTGTCTCCAAGTGCATGCCGTGTGAGGCAACGATCTCCATCTTGAGGGATGGCTGAGAACAAACTTTTAGAAACTCTTTAGAAACTCTAAAAACAATTTAAATAACCTTGACTTCCAGTCTCACTAAGTAGAGCATTTGGTGCCTCTCCTGAGATAACAACGGCACCAAGTTGCGCTGTAGCAATGTTTGTATTGGGTGCTGAAAATCCGTACAGTGTAAAATACACCAAGGTAATAGAATGAAACACAGTAAATCCAAAAATGAGGAACGCCTTACTTAGGAACCCACGATGCGTCAAATCAGTTGTGCGCTTTTTGTCCTGCTCTTCAATAGCGTCTAGAATAGTATCAGGAGCGAAGAGACCTGATGGTCTCACTATATTGAGAAGGTCTCTTTGACTAATAAGAGAAAGTCTAAGACACTTCATCAACATTTCCACTGCAGCTGCCTTGAAAGAAAAAGGAAACTATGAGAAGATAAATAAAAAATTTGGATGATACAAACTAAATAGGCGACTAAATTAGTCGGAATTAATCTGATTTTCCTCTTATTCATACGATTCGACATCACATATTGTGTGGATACCTCCACTTCGTTCAATGGGTCGTTATCTTGCATCCACCATCCACCAAAATTTTTGAATTCGCATAAGGATACGACTACCCACTTCGAGACTTTGTGTTCTTTATGAATGATGTCGAATATGGTCAAATTTATTCTCCGTGGAATGCTTAGGTAGCTCTACTACAACGTCCCTATTGCTCTATATTCTATAGGTCTCCGGAAGAGAAAGTGCGAGAGCTCTATGGATTGGAGGTAGTTCTTCACAAACAACTCCGACACTAACTTGCCGGTACTGGTGGGACGGGAGACTTGGTTGTCCGGCATGAGGTCGAACCAGTAGCCATTTGTATAATGGATGACATCTCTACCAATTGTTCTGCCTGCGCCCTAGTCATAGAAGTTCCCCACCCTTCACTGGTTGTGCGGGCTCCAGCATAACCTCTGGAGCTTTGCTGGTATAGCCACTGTGGTTTCCTGGAGTCCAGAGGTCAGCCAGGCCAAAGTCTACCTTAGGTCGTCACCACCACAGGCAGTCGCAGCCCTTGTAAATCCGAGAGAGATTTGCCACCATGCAACTTTGATAACAGGACGGTGGTGGATCCTGGTATTGGTTTACTCTTAGCCAGGCTTCCTGATGAAAGTGGCAGGCACCGTCTCAGTTTGGGAGACCCTGCCAGAAGGATGAATCACCTCGCTGTATATCACAGCCCGACACCCAGGAACACAGTTAAGGTGAGCCGGTAAACCGTTGGGAGGCCTTCATAATACCATTGCCTTTAAATGTTGTAGGAGTTGCATGTTCTTCATTTGCTACCAGCTCTTGTTTTCCAGTAATTACAGAACTGAACGTTGTGAGAACCTTTCACATCTCCACACTTTAACATACCTGCATTTCTGGACGAACTTTTACCCATTCACATATGGCACAGAAAATATCGATTTCTGATGCACAAAACGAATCCCGTGCGATTAACTGTGTTATTGCATTCAACGATAATTGTAGAAAACCCTATAAGTATCTACCAGAGATAGAGACACAAGTTTTGAAGGTTACTGCAATAAAATGATAAATATCATCTTCTGTGTTACAGGACTTGGACACTTGGATAATCGGATGGCCTACCCTCACTGATTGTGCGACCCCCAAGAAAATCTCTACTTTTTCGAAGTTGTGCTGGCTTAGCCATCGTGGTTCCTTAGAGTGGCGAGGTCAACTAGACCAAGTTTGCCAGATCACCACCACAAACAGTCGCCATCCTTGTGGATCCGAGGGAGATGCGACTATACTCTTAGCTGGGCTTCCTCATAGGTACGCCGCGCTTCTCAGCATGGGAGACCCTGTCAAGGGGATGCATCCCTCGCTGTACATCGCAGCCAGACACCCAGGAAGACATCCCAGCCACGATTAGGCAGTAAACCGTAGGGAGAACAAATTGTATTGCAGGACATAGACATATTGTTTAACAAAGATGGAAACAAAAACCTTAGTAGCACTGCCGTCTTGATAAACATAAATTTCAGTGTAAAATGCTCTACAACACTTTCTCGACTTGAGAATGAACGACCTTCTAACGTCGTTACGATATCCAACAGCAGTTGTTGCAATGTTAACTTCAGGCAGAGAAACAAGTCAAGTCATACCTGAGTGGTTAGTATTTCAGTAGCGTTCTGATCCGCAAACACCAGACAGTATTCGGTAAGATCATTCAAGAAATACAACTGCGATATATTGAAAATTGTGCAAAGGTTCTTATTATTTAGGATGGCCTGGAAAATATATGGTCTAATACTGAAAACGAGCATATATTTTATTGAATTACATCCGAAACTTTAACTAAACCGGAAGAGGTACGCCCATGAAGCGTTCCAAATCAATACAACTATGAATTTGAAATGTAGTGACGAAAAAAATATTAGAATAATCCTTCAGAGATTATAGCACACCTTTAAATAATCTGCAATAGCATTCTGAAGTTTAACGAAGCCATATTTATGGGCAAGCCCAAGTATTTCCATAACTTGCTCTTCCTTGTACTCAAGTAGGGTTAGTTTTGCAGTGTATATATACCTTAAAGCTATAGAATTGAGCGTCATAAAAAAACGTTGCGCAAAGTTTTATCGCATTTGCATTTGTACAGGCTGGTGTCTGTAGTGAGGATCGAATTCGGTGTCACCCTTTTCGGGAGCTAACGAATCCGTCACACCATGAGGGTTCTTCGTTTCATCTTTCTCCCAACCGTGTTATTGACCCACAGCTTCCAGATCGCGGGTTTTGGATTTGTGCTCCACATATCAAGCCTGTTGAAGGGTTTTTGTTGATAGCTGTTTTAGCTCATTAACACAGTTGAGAGAAAGACGAAACGGAACACCCGTATGGTATGGAGGTGAACTCATTAGCCCCCTGAAAGGGTAATAGAGAGCTCAATCTCTACCGCAGACACCTACGGTCCGTAGTTTTGCAAATATCTCAGCATCATTGTAGTAACCAGTTCATGGTTCAAAGTAATGAACGGAGTATTATTCTCAACTAACTATTTAAGTGGACAGACCGACCTCAGTAGGATACGGAATGCAAACACGTTAGTCTCTTCAAGAACGATTTCGCCTTCATCGCTTTCCTTCATACCACCATAAAGCAAAGCCCTTAGTTAAAGAATCATTAGGAGCCTTAAGGAGGTTAGGATGAGAACAAAAGATCTCACCTGAAATATTCACTCCGCGCAGCCAGAAGCACTTTGTGAGCTGGAAACTTCTCTCCATCGACTATGAAGACGACATCAGAAAAGTCATGATTCATAAAAAGTGAGCCAATATTATCCGATAAGAACCCAGTATGGTCGATTTCACCCGAGTAGGAGCCTAGAACGCTCACTTTAAGTTCTTATTCACTTGATTTTCTAATAAGCAAGATAAATTCTGTCCTCTAAGGAATAAAATGAAAGAAAAAAGTGGTTCAAACAGAAAATAAGTAAACTTGAATGCCTGGATCTTCACCTCCGTCGCTGGTCCCAATCAATCCGAACGGTGGAAGACGTAAGGCACATAAGTGACTATCGCTCATTCTTGAAT